AGAAAGTGTGCTGGGATTGATTGTTTGCTCCAGCTTTGTTTGTTCCTGGGAACAAGAAAAAGTCTTAATTGTTGGCAATTGTATTCAGTGTTGGCAGTGAAGATCCCACTTTTTCTTTCCTAGTGTCTTCCTCAATTTGCAACCTAGTAACAGAGCATATAGAAAACTGCTCTGCTTCTGGTCCTTCCCACAGCGCCGGTGTCCTGCAACGTAGTGGTAAGCCAGCACTCAGGAGTGCATTCAGTCTGTTATTAACCCCGTAGAGGCAGTTTATCTTGTTGCTGAATTACAGCTAAGCAGACCTCGAAATGCAGTTTTAGCATTAAGAAAATACATGCAGATCCTGTCTTGTGAATCTAATTCTCAAATGTGGTAGGGAAACTGAGGTCTGGAGAGAGAGAGAAATTAACTGCAGTCTGTTAGACTTCAAGGATTATTGTAGCCATGAGGTTGTTTGTGTCATTCCTACTGATAGAATCCCCTAGGAATCAACTCCCCTGATTCTCTTGTCTCCTCTCCGAGCACCCTTAAGACACTCGGCTTAGTTGCTCTGCCACGTAGGAACAGCAGCAACAAGGGCTAGCGCAGCAGACCCGTCACAGAGGGGCTTGCCGGGGTTAATCTGTGAGCGGTTCTGACGTGCTCTAAGTGCCACGTATGATTATGAAGCTAGTGATCGAGCGCAGCCCTTTGCCGCTCCCCCTCATTTCTTATTTTTTCTTTTTCTTTTTTTTTCCCATAATAGCGAGGAAGCCTTTCAATTGGTTGGGCAGCAGAGCCAACACGGGGCTCATGAGGAACAATGACCAAAGACCAGACTCCAGCTTGTAACCCAAAACCTCCCCAGTGGCTGCTGCTAAAAGGAGATGACAAAGGATTCCTGTGCCAGCTGGCATCTGGATTTCCCCCCACACCGCCTCAAAACCCATCCACTAAGAATTTCTAGTCTATCAGTGTGCATGCGTTCACCCACTCCCTGCTTGGAACAGGCAGGGGGGAAGCAGCAGTGTAAGGAGCTGTTGGTGCTGCAGGACTGAGCCGAGCTGCACGTTTCATCCGCACACTGACAACGGGTCAAGAAGCCCCAGAGAGAGGAAAGGGATAATGCCAAGCGGTGGGAAGGAAGGGCTCGTCAGAGCACGTGTGCCCCAGCCAAAATGTCACACAGGTTGGCAGGCTCCCTCCACTGACCTACCCTTGCTAATCCCTAGCCAGCTGGAGCTCGAGGGGCAAGAGGGGAGCACTTAAAATTTATTAGAAGGTTTGAGATTACATTTGGGGCAACATCATGGTAAGTTAGGTGGAAACAGTCGCCTCTGTGAAGAAAAGAGAAACTCAAGCTTGATGGAAGAGCTGCATTCTGAGACACCCATGGAGAGCCCTGGCCACAACCAAGTAAGGAGCTATTTTACACTCAGTTGTTGGGGACCAGGAATTGGGAGGGGACAGGGAGGAAATTCTGTGGGTTTTAGAACATGACTTTAAGTATTTGTGGTTTGTGGAGTCAAAGGAGTGAGGAATGTAGCCTCTGAGTCCCACGTGGCCTCCAAGCGCCAGAGATTTTACCTTTCGGAGTATCTACAGTTGAAAAAAAATATTTTTTTTTATCTTGATTATTTCCCAGGGTCACATCCATGAGCTTTTTAGGAGCATCTGCAGTATTCATGGTAAATGCGGGGGTTACACACACACCTGTGTATGAGTCTGTACTAGTAGCCATATATGTATTCAAATGGACTAAGCTGCGGCAAAGACATTGCCCTGGTTATTTAAACTGGTTATATAAACCACTTATTTAGAAGTGGTTTATATTTGAGGGGAGGTATATGTGAATCTATCAGAAAGCAGATGACAGAGGTGGTGCACCTCTGAGGGACTCGGGAAGAACAAGGCACATACACGCTGGGCCAAGGAGGGTACCAAGGAATTTCCATTCTGTAACTCTTTGGCTGACCTAAATTCTGTCTGTTCCTTTGAAGAGATGTTTTGGAAAGGGGAAAGGATTCAGAGTGATTCAAGGATGTTGCAGCAGAAGTACTTGAAAATTGGCAAACCATCTAACCCTTCAACAAACAACTTCCTTGTGGAAAAAAAAAAGAGCATATTCCCCCCCAGATATTTATTTTTTACAATGTTTTTGAGATTAATATTTTTGAAGTCCTGTCAGGTGCGGCCTGGGCCATGCTCAGGTCATTGTGCAGAATAGGTGCAGAACTCCCCAAAGCACCTCACAAACCACAACAAAGGGTCCTCAGGGTCTATCATCAGAATGAATGGGCCCAAAATTCAGGTACCCACAGGTATTGCTCCTGCCCTGACCCAGAAACCATCTCTGAGAAACTCCATGAAGGGAAATGAGCTGAATGAAGGAGGAGACATTGGTCCTTCTGCAAATGGTTTCAACACCCTTTTTCCTCATATTTGCCCACCCTTTCCAGCCTGGCTGGGAATCCTGCATTTTCCATTCAGAATATGGTAGCCAGGATCTGCCAAAGAGACTTGCAGGTTTGGCACAAACACTGTTTTAGTTGAAGGACTCCTGGATCACAGCTCTGAGGAACAAAAGTCTGAGTGCATCTCTGAGCAGCTTCGCTTCTTGGTGCATTTTCTTTTTCTAAAAAAACATTCAGGATTTTCTTCTGAAGGGAAAATCTTAATTCTTCAGGCCAGTGGGGAGGGCTGAGAGCCCAAATGGCTAAAGCTAGACTAGGAAACATCACCCAGTTTCCCTTTCCCCTTTCAACTGCGCTTTTCCATTCTCCCACTTTCCTAGATCAGCTACCTCCACATTCAAACACACAGCAGTTCCTCCACTCTCTTCCACATCAACTATCCATCTGTTTTGGAGAGTGTGGCCTTTGTGCCACCAAAGTAACTCCCAGAGGGAAAGTGACACCGCCAACAAGACCAAGAAACGTTCCAGAAGAGATCCCCAAGGCTGCTAGACCATGAGCCACAGAGTTTGGTGCTCGGGCCTCAGCACGCGCAGTCTCTGGCCCCCTAGTTCCTTTTATGTTAGCCTTGGAGCAGGAGAGTGGACGCTGGCGCTGTCTCTCTCGGCTTTGGGCGGCCCAGCGTGCCTTTCAACTGCACTTGCAGGATTTCACCACCATGTTGGAGAGCTGCTCCACTTTGGGGGTCCTCCCAACATAGTACAAGATAGTGAGTGGCTCCAGGTCCTGGGGGACGCAGCAGGGTGAAGCGGACGCCTCAGGGTTCAGCGTGTTATACAAGCCCAGCACCTGAGGACACATAAATGGAACAAAGTCATGAATCTGTTTAAGTGAGTTGAGCACAGGGCAGGACTGCAATGCCAATGTATCTCTAGGTGTATGGACTTATGCTTGTTAGGGGGCATTCCCTTGGTGCCTGTGACTTCCCAAGCAGGGCCTGCTCTTAGAGGGTTTCATCCGCCCAGGCCCAGTGCTGATTTTTCTCTTTTGTGATTGAAGCAGCCCTGTTCTGTGGCTGATGTCTGCAGTAGAAGGAGTGCAAGTAGCTGACTCTTCATCTTTGACTAGGTATATCACAATTTTTCCTTTTAACAAGACTGCAGGTAACCAGCCTGGGGCCATGTTGTTTTGAGTTCAATTAACAACAAAACAAACAAAAAAAAAGGAAAATCACTGCTGCTTATTTCAACCAACATCTCTAGATAGTATTGGATGGATGCCAGCCTGAATATCTACAGTTCCCTCCCAGCTTTGAAGTTTCTGATGCTGTCTTTCTCCACTCCATCCTCCAAGTCATTACAGTACAACGCTGGAGCCAGAAGAGTGTCCTATGGGACCCCACTGGATTCCTCCTCCCTGCTGGCCCCAGCCCACAGATGATCCATGACTTGAGCCATGTGACAGCCAGAGAACAGTTGCCTTGTTTCTTGCCAGAGGTGGCTGCTTTTCAGTGGTAAGCAATTTCTGGAGATGTGAGGCCAAAATATGATCTCACCTGCACTACTGTGGTCTCATTAGCACCCATCTGGTTTAAATGAGAGGGTCTGGCACACTGTTAACTACTCTACAGTCTTTAGGGACAAGGGGTGCTAAGGAAACATCCTGTTTTATCATCCAGAGCCATGTACTTGCAGTCTTTCTGGTGGAAGCTCTCTGGGATACTGAGTGAAGGCTCCAGCTGTAGCATGTGAAGTAGTTTATGCTTTAGGGCCAGTGTACTCCACAGAGGCAGAGTAGTTACAGGGCATGGTGAGAAGCCTACTTTTCACCACAATTCTTCCTAGGTGGTGTTGATTGACCTGTCATCAGCAGCTGTAGGTTCTATGGACTGCTCAGGTCATTCTGCTAACCTTGCCACTTGACTGGTGATCATCTCTCACATTAAGAAAAGGCTGGGAGAGCTGGGACTGCTTAGCTTGAAGAAAGGAAGAGTGAAGTGGAATCTTATCAATGCTTATAAATATCTGAAGGTGGGGATAAAAAGAGGATAGAGGGTCACCCTCTTTTCAGTGGTGCCCAGTGGCGGGATGATAAAAAACAGGCATAAACTAAAACAGAGGAAATTCTGTCTGCACGTGAGGAAAAACTTTTTTATCTTGGGCGTGACTGAGCACTAGAACAGGTTGCCCAGAGAGATTGTGTAATCTCCATCCTTCAAAAATTATCTGGACAGGTTCCTGGTCTCTAGGTGACCCTGTTTAAGCAGGACAGCTGGACTAGATGATCTTTAAAGGTCTCTTCCAAAATTTTTTTACTTACTTTTCTCAGTAAGTTTGTCGGTAAAGCCTAAGCTAAGTTACTAGTGAGCTGTTGCGCTGTGTAGCTTGTTGCCTTTTGTGGACAGAGCGCAAACATTTTCTTCTGGATTTTCTTGCTCTACTGATGGCCTGCCCTTTAGTCTTTCTTCTCCCCTCGGAGACCTCCTGCCCATGTCCATTCATTTGTATTGCTCTTTTTTTCTCCTTTGTTCTGGACACTAGCCTATGTCATGTGCTGTTCTCCAAAGATTGCCCAGTGTAATGATGTCAAACAGAGGTTATACTTGAGTTACCTAGAAACATTTGCTTTCTGAGAGTTTTACTCATGAATCTCCCTGCCTAGTGGGCTCCTCCCCTCCATAGGTCAGGTTGGATTCATGCAGCTGGAAGGGATGCCTATGCAGAAAGGAGAGCTTACTGCATGGCCATGTTCCCCTCCGGACATGCATGCATGTTCCCCTCCAGTTCTGGGCTCTAGCTGTCCCTGTGCTAGGACAGCAACTGTGTGCCATGACACAAGTTTTACATGACAACCTGATACGGACTGCGGAAAAATCTTCTGTCTAGTGAAAACTGCAGGAAGTTTAGAACGTAATGAACAGAGTTCACTTTTGATGTGAACAATTCTGTTAACACCTCGACCACTACTATATATGTAACCTAAAATCATCAGACCTACTGTTTTTACATGTCATTCAAGAGACAGCATCCTTCTCCTCCTCAACATTTAGCTGAAGCATAGATGCAATGTTTACTCAAAAGGAAGAACATCCTGCCTAGCTGCCCCTCATAGATGGTTCCCTGAATTTTCCTTTTTTTTTTTTTTTTTGGGTGAAAGGACTGATCTGGACTGCTGTTGCTGAACTGAAGTGACCAGATGAGATTGGACTTGGAGACAAAGGGAAAGCCACAACCACAAACCCTAGTAGGCTAATGTGCTGCATGTACCGTGCTGTGAGTCGTGTCTGCACTGCGGAGGTACGGACAAGGGCCTGAGCAAAAGTTAGCAAAGTAGCCCTTCGGCTCGTGGACCCATTTCCAGCCCAGATCCTGTCGGAAGTCGATGTAAAGAGGACGCACACAGCAGTTCTCCTCCAGGTTCCTGGAACAAAATATTGACACAAAGTTAATCTAAAGAGGGTCGTTGTTATACATGAGTATACACATACGTATATTATATGACGCAGGTTCCTGAGCAGTAGGATTTAGTATCGCCAGTGCCCACCAGGACATGGAGCTTCGTTTTCGGTGGATGTGAAGGAAGCGCGTAGGGCAGGTGTGCGGTGTGGCACCGCGTGGCTCTTGCCACAAGGCGGCTCTGCCATTAGCACGGTGAGAGGACCATGGGCAGGCCAGTGACCCAGGGCCACGACCAGGCCAACATCCTCCTCCTCCACTTGGGGCTGGTGAAAGGTGCCTGCCCATTTTGTGCTCTAGGAGCTGCTCAGGATCCCTCTCACCAGTGGCTCACCCAGGAAAAGAGAGCAACTCTGTTGACCTGGACAGACTGGACAACTGGGCGGTGAAAAACCTCATTAAATTCAACAAGGCCAAGTGCAAGGTCCTGCACATGGGGAGGAATAACCCCAGACACCAGTACAGGCTGGGGACTGACCTCCTGGAGAGCAGCTCTGCAGAGAGAGACCTGGGTGTCATGGTGGACGACACGTTGACCATGAGGCAGCAGTGTGCTCTCGTGGCCAAGAAGGCCAATGGGATCCTGGGGTGCATTAAGAGCATCTCCAGCAGGTCGAGGGAGGTGATCCTGCCCCTCTACTCAGCCCTGGTGAGGCCGCATCTGGAGTATTGTGTGCAGTTCTGGGCTC